CACAGGTGTGTCTATAGGTCACACACATGTGGTAAATAGCACAGGTGTGTCTATATTAGATCACACACACAGGTTATAACACAGGTGTGTCTATAGGTCACACACATGTGGTAAATAGCACAGGTGTGTCTATATCAGATCACACACACAGGTAAATAACACAGGTGTATATACGTCACACACATAGGTGTGTCCATAGGTCACACACACAGGTAAATAACAAAGGTGTGTCTATAGGTCACACACACAGGTAATAAGCACAGGTGTGGCTATAGGTCACACACACAGGTAATAACACAGGTGTATCTATAGGTCACACACACAGGTAAATAACACAGGTGTTTATATAGGTAACACACAGGTAACATGCTAGGGACAACACAGGTAAATAAATTACAGGTGATCCTAGGGACAGCACAGGTAAATAACACAAGTGATGCTAGGGGACAACAGAGGTAAATAACACAAGTGATGCTATAGGGACAGCACAGGTAATAACACAAGTGATGCTTAGGGACAGCATAGGTAAATAACACAGGTGATGATGGAGAGATAATAAGAAGACTTGTTGAATATGATGGGTAATGCTGAGCAAACAACACATATTCTTATAGATATGGATCCGGAGGAAACAGTATTTACCTATATATATATATTATAGGTCATTCCAATGACAGGTAAATAAACAACCTGAACTGACACCTAGTGGCCCAGATCACTGTGTTATCACTTACAAAATACTGAAACGGACACCAGGCATGTTATGTCATAAGCTGATGTACTTTGACAAGGCTATCCTTATTTATGATAACATGTATCTATCCTAATATGATAACACATGCATATCAGTCGTAATAATTTAATATAAAGAGCCCCACCAACCCAAACTCCTACCTATAAAATAAAATATAGCTAGTCAGAGGCTGCAGGTGATTGGTGTTTGTCTGTTGACGTCATATGCATGCATGCATTTTAAAAATACCTACCCCAACCTTGTACTATATATATCATGTTACACATTCCTCAATTCCTTATATAAATAATGTACGTTATAGGTGTATCCTTATACCAAACATATCCAAGCTGGTAGATAATAATATAATAGCGTTATGAAAAACTTTGACATCCACAATATTTTTTCAAAATAAATCTCAATAAACTTTAAAATAGGACAGAATTTCACTTTAAAATATGACAGAATTTCACTTTAAAATGAAGACAGACTAACTGCTATATGTGCAGTCCTGCAGGGCCACCTTTAATTTTACAAACATGTTCATTTACTTACCCAATTGTTTACAATGATTGAAATATAAATTTTGTATTTTCAACCTCATTCCTGCAGCATCTTATTGTATAAAACATTTCACTTCCAATTAGAATTGTCCTATAAATAGAATGAGGCTGTAAGTTAATCAAACAATTATCTATATAGCTAGTACATCATTGCTTAGTACGTATACAAGGGTCTTTGTTTCTTGTTTAAAAATCCAGGTGCACTAGACAGCAGTAGGGAACTATCATGGTCTCTGACTTACCCTTTTTTATAGATATTATTTCCAGTTTCCAAATACTATTAAATACTGTCAATTAATTTGTACAAATACCTGGTAATAGAAAATTGTTTAAAAACTTTTGAATCTTTCTAAAACGTGTTGTGCAACCATTTCAGTCTCCAGGCTAACTTGCCGTCAATTGTTTATTATATATAATGTTGCTCGTGTATCGTTTGTGTCATCAGAGTGTTCAAACAAGTTCTGTCCCGTTTTGTTAATTTTGTGTGAATATTTAGGAGGGAGACTCCCAGTTTTGGAGCCTTAGTTATTGCATCTTCAACCAGTGAATTTACTAAACTATTCCTACATTTTAAGATCTAATGATTTCATTTGAAAGAACAACTCAAAATATGTCATTTCAAAGGGTTATTTTGGCTCTAGTGGGTATATATACGTATATTTTATCTAGGATTTAAATTTGAGAGGGCAGAATCACCCCCACGGAAATCTCCAAAAGTTGGCAAGTATGATGCATACAGTCATATATTTAAAAGTGTCTACCAGGTCACAAACAAATGTACGAGACCGGCTTGTCAGAAGATGGCACACAGGTGAAAACATGATTATCCAACATCAATGATAAGATCAGTGTTAGGGTCGACTACAACCCTTAGGAGGTTTCCTTGACCACTGCACATATATGTGATGACCACTGGTCATTTAGCTTCTGGCCATTACATCATGATCAATGACAGCAATAATGTATTATGGTAATGCTTGGTAAAGTATATGTAATAAGACTGTAGTTTCATGATCTAAGAATTTCCCCCCATTTTTTTTTAGAACTGTCAGAAATATTGGCATCTAGGTCAAGTATGTTACTTCAAAAACACCATCTTCAAGTGTCAAGTGATTTCTGGAATTCATCAGACTTTCATCATCAATTGATATGACCAATTTTCTATTTAATGATTGCTATATGTTGATTCAATGGTTCACTCGAAAATAGTCAAAACATCACATTTTTTTTAAAACTTACCCTCACTAGTGTGAATACCAAAATAAAATGTAATTAAGACACCCTCCGCATTAAAACCATTTTGGTTTCTGTGGAGTATAACATATAGGTAGATAGACACGGACGGAATGTCTTATATATGTAATAAATATAATCTAAAGCCCAAAACTCTATACAAATTCAAACTGCTGTCATGGTCAGGCCAAATAAAATTACTGATATATCTGTTCTGGGTCTACCTATACCCCAAAATAAGAAAGTAGGTATGAGGTAACTCTAAACAGACATTTTAAATTGACCTTAGAAACAGCTTTGTCAGCAACGGATACAGCTTTAAACTGAAGGGATACAGACATTAGACATATCATAAACACAAAAGACTGTTATATATACAATGTAAGCCAGTATTGCGACAACGCCCGTTATCCCTAGTAATTAATATAGTCAGACACGCATTTATATTGTTGATGTCAGCACTGGTATGAATCGTCTTAAAAAATCAATTTGGTTCAAAAATTGCCAAATCAGAACAGAAACTGTTTCTGAAGAAACAGAGGGACTGATTAATTACAGTTATACCTAATAGAGCATGTTAGTCATTAGAAGATATCCCGCTGTTTCTACAGAAACTAAAACAGGGACCATATTAAAAAGGTTAGTGGAATAACATAACTGACACCAGATGGAATAATTGCAAACATTTACCCAATTGCTAGCCTGACCCAAATATATTTTTTCGTATTGACATTTTCCTCACATATGGCACAAAGTGCAAAACACAATATCAATATGAAGACATTCTCGGGGTGTATGTAGAAAACAGCCCTGTTTGATTGAAAGTAATATCGGTGTTAATTTGTGTAATATTGTTTTTAAACAACACATAATTACCTATCCAGCGATGAATCAACACCGAAGCACGCACAAATAAAGCATAATCCTGGGGTTTATAAACACGACCAAAATAAGTTGACATATGTACTTCCGGTTTGACACAGAAGCTCAGGTTTCGATGATTTTTCATTGTTCTGTCAGCCGATTTTTGAGCAAATACAAGTCATTTTAACAGTATAGAAGTCAAACTAATGCCAACTGCGATAAAACTAAGTAGTACCTAGCTGAATTGGATTGTCCCTTTCAAAGGCATTCACTTAAGCATCGGGTCATCGGCTTATCTTGTGAAAGGGGTCACCAATACACCCCGTACCCGTCAGACAACATAACAGCTACCGGTGACGCACCCGATTTAGTTAACGCGTCCTCAAAATTCAAGGATAAATTCATGATTTAAAAGCTAAGACAGTTCAATTAATAATTATAGCGAATGACAAATGATATGTAATCCTATATAAGTCGATAAACATTGATAGAATCGATTTCTCACCACTGACCCACCTCTCGATTCATAAACGTGCCGCCATCTTGATTAGTGACCTCTGACCTCAAGTTCCCGGATATGACAACTTAGGAAAAGGTTAACGGGGCCCGTTCAGTAAATCCTGAAACAGTTCATGAAAGACGGGCCCTGACTGATTTTGGACTATGTTACTTTTTGAAAGGCATCAAGAGTCAGGCTTATATATCTCAGTATTATTTACGTAGGTGCTTTCTTTAATTAACACCTGTGAAATCAGTGTCAGAATAAGTTTGGTACTTTACCTTGAGCCTGTTCCGGTATTGTATTCATGCACATTAATGCCCATGTTGAAACTGAGATAAAATCCTAGGACACATTTACTTTTCTTACAGTAACCTTTCCTGAATCCAGACAAAGAAATCAAATGGCCATGCATAGCATACAACTGACCAACAACTTACATTATTACAGACCAAAGGAAGTCTACAAATGGAATTTGAGAAAGATCTGTCATGTACTTCTTGAGAAATAGTGATATCAAACTTGAACTCACTCACATTCAAAATCCAAAATGGCTGACTGGTGGCCATTTTGTTTTCCTGATGAAACTCTGAGTAAAATATGCATACCTATGGACCAAGAGAAACCTTCATATAAGATTTGAGTAAAGTTTGTATCATAGTTTTCTGAAATATGGATAAAAAACTTGAACTATTAAAATTGAAGATGGCTGCCTATAGTGGCCATCTTGTTTTTTTCTGGTAAAATGCAAAAAGAAACATGCACATGTAACTTCCAATTAATAAAACAAACGTATTCACTCGCATATCTGTCAGATTCTGCTTTAGAAAAGCAATTACATTTTAACGGTCAAAGTAAAAAATTGCTGCCTGGTGGCCATCTTGTTTTTCTGATCAAATCCAGAATAAAGAATACATTACTTACTTGAGAAATAATGATTACAGGAACTGTTAAAGAAAGATGAAGGGTGATTTGATCAGCAACCACCTGGAGATAGTTGTCTAATTAAATAAAAGACATCAAGAACCACACGCACACAAAAAGGTGGATATAACTCAGTGTCTTGAAAAGAAATCTATTTCCTGCACCACATGTGGACCATCAAATCCAGGAAGAAAGATCAACTTTTTTTTCTGTTTTACTGGCTCAGTTTCCTAAATCTATTCTTGTTTTCAGTACAAACGGTTTTTTGTTTTTTCCTTCATGGTTGTTGAGGTTGAGTCAATTCTGGACACACTAAATCTATCAAATAATATACAGCTCTGGACACACTAAATCTATCAAATAATATACAACTCTGGACACACTAAATCTATCAAATAATATACAATTCTGGACACACTAAATCTATCGAATAATATACAATTATGGACACACTAAATCTATCAAATAATATACAATTCTGGACACACTAAATCTATCAAATAATATACAATTCTGGACACACTTCTATCCAATAATATACAATTCTGGACACACTAAATCTATCAAATAATATACAATTATGGACACACTTCTATCCAATAATATACAATTCTGGACTTTTGTGCTGGTGAATATGACAGGCTTCGCCTTGGTCAATATCTCTTTTCAGATTCAATTATCACATCATATTTACCAGCACAAAAGCCCATAACTGGTTTATTATATGCTTCAATAATAACATCTTGCAATGCTAACATATACTGGAAAGAGCCTTCGTGTAAAATGTATAGCCAGGGTTGAATCCAACAGTTCGGCATCGTAGCTTTCGAGGACATTGTTAAGGTTCTTTCCCTTAACCCTTTTACCACTGTGAACCACAATGGACTCGTCCAGATAAATGTATGGAAGAGTTTACTAAAGTTACCTAGGGGTGAAAGGGTTAAGATAAGCATGGAGGACATGCACTGCGTGTATGGTGGCCTTTTTTAAGTTATCTTTACCTTCGAGTAGTTTTTGGTAATGTTATGGAGGCGAAGCGTTTGCAAGCAGCCATTCTGTATTGTCGTCTGACAGATCGCGTTCCGTTCTAACTGTGCATGTGCTACAACAGGTTCCGGTGAATTTCCATAAAATGCTATATTCGGTGAATATCAATTTCTAAATAACCAGTCTACATGAGTTTTTGAGGACTGGTCATGTGTATAGGATCCAACCAATGTGATTGCAAGAAATTTTTACAAGCATATAATAATCTCTGGTAAATCGCTTAATTACGACAACATTGGCCAAAACCAAACAAATGTGATGAAATTAATTACCTGATTATAACATACCTTTTCTAAGTAGCAGCCTCCCATGCTTGGAGTATATATTTATTATTATATGTCACGGTAGAAGTCACAACTCCAATAAGTATGAGGATTTTATACATTTATTGATTTGCGGTAGGAAATCACAGTTTTTGTATCTCCTCAATTAATCATGTTTCATGAGGATGAAGCCCTTCTGAAACATGATAAATCTCATAGAAACAAAAAGTCATGTGACCCTACCACAAGGGCTATACGTAATTTGGTATGCCGAAATGGAACAATAACACACATATTGAAAATAATCAGGACAACTCACCATTGTTTGCTGTTGTGGTGGCTCTTGCCAATTTTTCTAGAGAGGCTCCAAATAAAGGGAAATATTGACTATGGAAACTAAAATATATGAGGGCGACATGATGTTTTATTTCCCTGTCATGGGATCAATATCATCCAATCAGACACACTGTTATAAAGATGTGATATAATAATATGCATGAATAGTACTCCAACAATGTTAGAGGTTTTACACGGCGAAAAACTTTTGACAGGCGCCGCGTAACCTCTAACTGCCCATAGCTGATTTTCCCGATGCTGACGATCACATTTTCAAAGTTCGGATTAAGAAAGAGTATATCGTGTTAACATACATTTAAATGATCAAAAGGGTCCAATAAATATTCCTTTCCATAAATCCATGATTATATGAGAACAATTTCGTGTCAAAGACATAAATAATGNTATTTTGTATTAGTCACGGAAGCCATGTTTTAAATGTAGGTCAGAGATGTGCTACAACGACATGGACATGTATTTTGAGTGTTCTATTCCGTAATATACTATATATTTGTGTCTGTGACATACATATGAGATCCATATTATATAAACCGTGAGTAGACATCATTGTCATGAACTGTTAACCACTTAAGTGAGTTTTTCAAGCCGATTTTGTTCCGCCCGGATTTCGCCCGGAAACTGCATCAAAGAATAAGTGCTTCGGAAATGAGAGGTCGCAGTCGGCAAAATCATATCCGATAAAAAAAAAGGCCGACCAGCGGCCTCTCATGTTATGGGAGTAGCATGAATAGATGCATCCTGCTGATGAATACACTACCACCTACTTACCCAGGGTTATCTATAAGTGAGGCTGCAATTTACTCTGCAGAAAAATTCTTTGGCATAATGTCCTACAGAGTAGGTGAATTTCAGTGTCTAATTATGGTAGAGAGACCCAGCACTCTCCATTTTGTATCTCCAAGGAAGAAAAGTTTCAATTTGCTGGCATTTTTTAAATCTGCTGCCATAAGGTATTTATTGTTGGACCTCTCGATTATAAAACTTACAGCTTCACGGTTAACCACTAGACTACTGGTGATGACGTCCCTATGCCATTGCAGGCAAAACATTCAAAATTCCACTGTAGTTTTTTGTATACAGTTGCCTCCCCTTCATTTCGTTTAAAATATGTTTAGCACGATTGCCCCAGCGAATGACCGTTGACCAGGTAGCTCAGTTGGTTAGAGCAACAGTCCCTTAACCCTTTCACCCCTATGTAACATTAGTAGACTCTACAATGCATTGATATGGATGAGTCCATTATGGTCCATAGTGGTGAAAGGGTTACTGGGAGGGTTCAAGGTTCAAATACATATGGCCCCATTGCATTTTCGCTCCTCAGAATACTACGTCGTCGATTTTTTTTTTGTATATTTCATCAATTTTTTTTCTCATACTGGTTCTTTATCAAAGCTATGGTCAATTGCAGGCAAAAAGGTTCCAATGGAGACTGGTACACCAGTCTATCTGGGATGTTTTTATACGGTTGTTGAGGTTTTGTCAGATCTTACGATATTCATTGTGGTCTGGTATTTTTCTCGACTATTATTGAGATAAAAAATGTAGCCCACTGTCATTTTGAACAGATCCCACAAGTTTTAGCATATCCTATGATTACTGATGCATTAAATTTCAGTTAATTTGAAATGTTTATTTTGTCATTATTATTTCCATGATTTAAAACTGTTCATAATTAAAAAAGGAATCTTGAATTACTGTGCGGAATGACAAAATGAACTATGGTTGAGACCTATATAGAGTCAGCTGATAACCCATTATTGTGTTTGAATTGTGAATGTAATGTGATAAATAGAATCTTACATTCGTGTCCATGTCATATTGAAAGGCTCGTGTCATATCAAGTTACTGACCTAATTGTTTAATAAATGCAATATGACATGGACACTCATGCAGGATCCTCTAAACAGGATACTTTGCCTTCTAGAGGCTCAAAAATAACTGTCTGATGTATTTGATGCTTTGCATACATTGGAGACTGTGGTCATGCAGTGCAGCCTAACGTGAAATATATCACCAGAAAGTCATAACAGTCTTTTTCATATGAACATCACCCGACTGTGAGTATTGCGTAACACACATGTTTGTGAAGATAAAATATAATTTATATCCCCGTTAATTTAATGTTTAGTTGTTTGTATACATGAATAATCATACAGCAATGTTTTAAGAAAATAACAATCATTTTTTTTATACACATAATACAGACTATCTTTATAACGAACTGATTCAGTAGGTCCCTTGGGATTCGTTATAACTGTGTTTTACTTTATATTGTTGCAATAAAACACAGTAGGGTTAATATCCCAGATCCCTGCCCTTCTATATACACTCTGGTTTTTCTTATATTCAGTATCTTCCCCTTGATTTCGATTCGGATAAAACTACCACAGTTAGGCCAAG